TTGATAAACTTACTTATTAATTTAGTTTCAGAGCTTATATTGCGTCTTCTCAACCCTACACTGACTTTAAAACCAGCAAGTCAGCTGTTGTGTGATATGGTGGCTGCTGATACTAATAACTTCATGACAACTCAAAAGATGTTATCATTATAAATAAATAAGATATTTGTAATGTTCCAATGAGTAGAAAAATGAGATTTTCTGACGTTTCGTGGCTTCGTGTAACTCACTTCTTCAGAGAATTATTCCAAGTTTAAATAGTACTTGGACTAATTTTAATTTAGTTATTTTGTCTCTGAAGACGTGGCTTAAACTAAGCCGCGAAACGTCAGAAAATCTCATTTATCTACTAATTGGGATGTTACAAATATACTATTTATTTATAATAATCTACCCAATGCTCAATTTATACGAAATTATCAAATCAAACCTTGGTAATGATATCAATAATGCTATCATTGTATTCAGGAAAGTTCTGGACAACTATCAAATTCACTACGACTAGTGAAGCAGATTGAAGAGAATAACTACACTACACGATACCCATAAGAGGAAACTGTAACAAAACACCATTAGTTGAGCCCAGAATTATTACAGATCGAGCACAATTATTTAAAGGTTAGTCTCTCATCAAAGACACTTAAATCCTGAGGCATTCATAAAGCGACTCATCATACACAGTCAACTTTTCAGGCGCACCGTTATCTATCTCAATTGACTATATCCAGGACCTGAAGTACAAAAAGCTTAACATGGTGTCTTTGAAGTGTCTGTCGAATGAGTAATAATAATATCTGATGTCAAACAGCTGAAAACAGATTTCCCTTATCCGTTAATATTTCCCGGATCTGATCACCATATACCAATAATAACTACAGAGGGAAGCCGAACACATGATACTTTTAAGACTCACCTTTTGTACAAGTACAAAGAACAAGCAAGTTGAATCAGCCAAACATGGATCAAAATTTAAAGGAAATGAAGCGAATATCCTGAACACAAAGAAATAGTATGCACAGTTATTGAAATTTTGAAAATTCACTCGTAAATAAACAAAAAAGTAACAATTCTTTCTCCAGTTTCGATAGAGATAAAAGAATTAGTATCGTGGTACATTTCACAGTTCATTTGGTTGATCAAATATATGTTTAGGAATACAATTTTTACTACAGATTAACACCAGTCACCTAAAAGCTACCTGTATGTGTCTTTCATTGACAAGACATTGTGGCACATTAAACTTTCAGGATCTTAAAAACAATAAAGTCAAAAGTTTGAGCATGAAACATCATGCCTATTACATACTATTACAGACTGATTATTTAGGCAGAAAAACGAAAGAAATCGCACTTAAGTATGCAAGGGTAGATGCACTGTAATTCATCTGTCAAACATCCTATCAAGTAAATCCAAAAATGAAGTTACAAAACGTCCCTTAACTTTATTTTGGTGCGAAGGTTATGTGTCCGACTATCGAGTAGCGACAAGTGACTACGCTGCAACGAACAGGTCATGTTATGTCAGTAAGAACAGATACCTCTCGTCATCAAGATGGCGGTGGACAGGATAGCCACCATGAGATCCCAAAAAAAATCATTAGCTCGAGCTGCGTCAGCTGATTATGGAGTCCCTTAAGTCTTCACTAATACCTCGTAAAAGTAGATTAAGCCTTAAAGTCTGATGGATTGAAACAAACGTCCAGCAGTTTCCTATGATCTTCCTCTTGCATGTAGGGGAGGGCTAGTGTCTAAGTCCCTCATGATTTCGAACAATCGAAAATTAGTTAATTACACAGATGATCAATACTTAAAACTTGCAGTAATTTATCTTAGTGCGTTCGGAGCTAAAGTGAACATTTATGTTACTTTTGAAAGAGGTAGAACGGCCACAATTTTAATGCTGATAGTCACCCCTCATTTTATGTGTAGAAAAAGCCAGACTAGCAGGTAAAGTAGATTTTTATTGTTTTTGTGGAATGGAACGGTTGGAGAGTGAGGTTCTAAATTTTAAACACACAGACTTTTCAACATTCAGTGTAAGATATTAAAAAACATATTAATGACACAAAATAAAAATAAAATAAATACTCGCGCATTAATTTTTTGACATTAAAAATATGTCTTCGGCTAGCTATTAACCACTCAACCGAAGGTTCCTCCTAGGACCGCCTTCGACAGGAATGCTGGTCCGATCAGATTATTGAATAGAAACGAGTCATTTTGGTTTACTCGGCTAAATGAAGAATGGCCATCTAATTCAGTGTCTTGCTTTGTCAATTTTACTGTCAGTAACGGTAACCGCTGAATCAACATTTCAAGGTAGTCCTAAACCTGACTAACTCGATCTCGGTAGCATTACCCTTCTTTACACAAATCATCCCACATGAATTGTTGAATGTGCTCTCTAGGTGGTAATCAGAGCTAGTTTGGGAATGGAATGTAGGAAAATGAAACGAGAATATCTGGGTAAATTTTGTGAGTCGGTTGCTCAAAAGCATGTTGGTAAAGTACGATTTTCAAATGCTCACTCAGGCTGTCAGCTATTTAACGCAAAAGTTAGAAATAAAAAAATACAGAGATAAAGTCGGCCACAACCTTTTACAATGTGGTTCATAACAGCAGATACAGAAAGTGTCCTATGAGCAGGGACATTCAAAACACAGAATAAAACCAATAAAAATACAGAAGACAAAATTCTAGAATTGAGTTGAATTTATAGGGTTTGAATAACCAGATTCTTATGGGTTTGATTAGCATAATGTGAACAGATTTATGTAAGTAAGGAGTTAATATTTCCTAAAGCCAATTAGGAAAAAGATTGTTATTCACCCCACAAGTTTTCATGTCCTATCAGTCATTAGTATTGTTGATAATCGACCAGTTTTAAAGAATTTTTCAGGGCAGCTTACCTTGTGAACAGGAGGACGATAATTCGAGTTATTGATGATGAAGTACTTTTGCTCACATATACGACGATCTCAGATTCAACGTCACACAGCCACGAGAAAAAAAGTGAAAGATTGTGTTCAGTCAGAACGAGTGTTGGATCCTCAAACATAGATGACTTCAGTGTCTTGCATACTCGATTGGTCACTCTTATTACACCATCATCATTGGTTCAAATGTTAAACTCGACAGTTTACGAATATCAACTATGGAAAGTGTCGTTTGTTTTATATGGTGCTACTCCTGAACCTGAACTTGTTTTAGTTGTAATGTGCCACTGAAAAATATTGGTGACCTATTGATAAGAAGGTATTTATAGGTCATATAAAACATCATGATCAAATCTAAATGATTACTTCAAATTTTTGCTGCCAGCTGAATGATGCATTATCCAAGATCAGAAGCCGTTTTTCACATCGAGATACATGAATAAAAAATAATTAGTTTGTATTAGCTTATGACAAAGATGTGAAATTACCGAAGCTTTAAGAGGGTAATTTAAATTGTTGGTCTAGCGGTCGTTTTGAACGTCTGCATTTTCGTCCGTTTGTTGTAGTAATGTGACTCGATTGTACCCTAATATAAGTTTTAAACGCATGTGTTACTATATACCTTTTAGTTATTTTCGGCTCGCGGTGGTTTATTATAATGTTTTCTCTGTTCATCACCCACGTCTGAACATAAGATTGGTTACTGAATACCTACCAATCCTACCAAACTGAACGTTTCACATGTTCTAATAAACCTATGTTTATTGAGTTCTTGGAAAACAATGGTTTTAAATTGCAGCCTCGTGATTAGAATGTTGCTTTTGATTTCAAGAATTCTATATTGTACCAAAAATATAATATTGAATAAAGCCATTAATAATAATAATAATAATAATAATAATAATAATAAGTGCAAGATATCTTGCACATACATATGTTCGTGTTCAGACAAGTTCGAAGTCTTGGGAACAAAATAACATTCGTGGTGTTTGATCTTAAAAGTGAATGTATTGTCAGTATTTCCTTTTTCTCGCTTCGGTAATTCAATTCATCAGTCTTGGGGGAGCAGTGTTAGGGTTGATGACTTGATAAACTTAAAAATCTGTAGTAGGTCCATGTAAATCTCATTTAAAAAGATTAAATAAATGGTTTCATGTTGTATATTTGTGTAATGTGGCTGTTGCTGATTCAGATCTCAGAATGTGAATCCCCGGAGAGTTTCGACTAATCAAAAATACTACATAACAATCAAAATTTAACTGCCACAAAAATCTTTTTGAGATACCACTACAATTCAAAACACTTATTGTTTTACTGAGAACGAGATAATAAGCATTTTCTAAATGTATTGAAACAAAATACATAGTGCTTATAACTAAATATGTAGTCCTCTGACCTTAAACATCTACAGTAATTAGAAAACATGACTTCTATTATTTCCTCCATGTCAGTTAAAAGAATTACACACTTTACTGACTTGTGAAGAAGCAGTCTTCCATTTAACTTCGTGTCAGGTATTTTGTCATTGTCGAGGTTGTATTTCACTTTTTAACATTGATTTCAAAGTCTTCAAGAGTGTAAATTCTAGTCAGAGGTTTCACTTAAGCTTATTATTGCTTTCCGTGTCTAAGTATTACCATATCTTCTCAACTAGGCTCGCCGAACGAAAGTATCGTATCATATTACTGAATAATGGCTAAGGCGTTCGACTTTCGCCCACTAAGCCTCACGATATAACCCCGTTCTAGTTGCGTCGGTTTGGGCAACCGAGTGGTCTCTACAGTCCTCATGCTTGGAGTTTGGCCCATATCCAGGTATTTAGTGAATGAGTTACTTTGAAATCGTATGCCGTTTTATGGTTTATAATAGTTACAGAAGGATCGACTATATATATATATATATATATATATATATATATATATATATATATATATATATATATATATATATATATATATATATAAGCTGCGTGATAGTCATTCACTAATTACTTATACCTTGATTGTAATCTGACTGATTACTTGATACTTGATGTTTCATAAGTTTCAGCTGGTCTAGCAATATCAAACAATATGGAGTTAAAATATTTACACTTACCAAATAATTGCTAATACTGTGGTTTCGTTACGAAATCTGGTCTGATTATCAGTATAAAACGAAGGTACTAAGAGTGTGAAACTCCAAAATCGCCAGGACAGTGTATGTATTGTCGGAAAATGTTTTCATGGGATTTAAATCCCGAAATAGACAGACTATTTGTCTTCAGTACTTGCATCAAAAACAATTAATCACTAATTTTTCCTCATTTGGTGATAATTTCATTCTCAAAAGTCATCTGGTTACTCATAAACTATTAAACTGAGTAAAAGAGCGTTGCAATAGGTAAATATTTATGTTGATGAGAGTTAGCACCATTTACCAGTCTCTTAAACGTTGGGTATTTCAACAATTATATGTCCGCTGGGGTCAGTGAGTCCTACTTCAGTTTCAGTATGTTAGGTGGGGGTGAGAACTTACAGTACGTTGTTTGCCTTCATGTGAAAACGTCGGTAACATCATGAGCAGATGCCATTTGAATAATTGTTCGTATCCAGTGTGAGCTTCATTATTCACTTGTTTATCACGTATGAAATAGACTCTAGAAAATTACTTCCCTACCTTACTAGATACCTTGAAGTGGGCAAGTTTCTACATGGAAATGAATTTCTTCCAAATATTTATTCCCGTTAAAATCATTGTTAGTATAACTCATTTGTCAACCATATTTACATGTGCAGCCTTAACCCTTCATATTTCAGTTGAGAGTTATTTATATTACTCAGTTGATTAATTCAAAAAGGCGTAGTTGGATTCAAACCTGCTATCAAATGGTTAGAAACTGAATGCTTTTAAACTTAAGCCAGTGGTCCACATTCTATTTTTGTTAGTTTTACATGCTGTATACTACAATGGTGCACATGGGCTCCAGTATCCTGCGGGAACAAATGGCGTATGAACCAGTCGTTGGTCACCGGCTTCCATGGAACTGCATCTCTTTACAATGCTCTACTGCCTTGTGGATCAGAAATTCAGGTCGAAGGCTCGGGGAGTGGCCTCCTAAGAAAACCACCTGCTTCAGTTTGGCCACCCGGGCAGTATCACAGCTCTCACACATATCGAATGAGATTTGTGTGGCGCATATGTATTTGGTGCCTCCTTGTACCAATATCTATGTGTTAAAATAAAAATAATAAAAAATAATACCACTTCCTGGGCCATCACATAGTGTACTTTTGTTCATTTCTAAATAACTTGACACGTTCTCTGTTTCGAAGCTCAGTTAGTACGCAGTTAGATTTTAACGGAATGAGCTTATATTTTAAGGTTGTAAGTAATTTATTGAGTTGACTGTTTCTCCAATTATTTGTTACTCTCATAAACGCTGCTATTTCTGCTTAGCAACCATTGTACTGAAGTTGATCATTTTCTTTTTTAGAATTTCGATGAAATTTCTATGCGTCTTGAGCATTCTTCTGTTCAATACATCTTTTTTAATCATGGTGTATCCTCACTTTTATTTGACATCCCAATACTTGCGCAACTCAGTTTAACAAATTTGGTCCTATTATTTTTCATGATCAACTCTTCAGTAAATTCTGAAATGGACGATTTTGATGATAATGGAAATAGGCTTGTCCGACGTAAATGGTGCCCATGGTCTTCATGGAGTCCGTGCTCTCCAACTAAGTGCTTCAAAGGTTTTGTAAACAAGAATCCTTCATATTGGTCAAACCGTGAAGAATTCCATGTCGTTGATGACACACAGATTACAAACTGTGTTCTACTACCAAAAAATAGTACCAAAAAACCTAGTCGAGCATATGTACGACAGACAATACAAGGTCAACATAAAATTCTTGTTCCTGAAAAACAACGTTTTCGTACTTGTGATTGTCAGTCAGTTTCCTTACTGAATGTATTCCGTTTAGTTAGCCGGCATGAATGTTTTCGTAAGTTTGATTTATTATATGCTTTTTCCCATGATGAATTTTGATTGTTAAGCTAGTGCATGCTTTATTTACTAAGCTCTGACCAATTTGTACAGTATAATAAGTGTAAACTAATTAGTTAAATATACATATTGCACTGTTTTAACTGTTAGATTTCAGTCGTGCCTTCTGCTTTCGAAGGGAGTCTCTGACCAATAAATAATGAATCATCATTCGGTTAAACACTAACTTTATTTGATAACATCAATTTTAACTCTACTAGTCAAAATCATTACTTATAAATTTATTTTCAATAAAAGGCTTTTCCTTATCAACTGATCATAACAAGTAATCATAACTTTTTGCATGTAAGAATTACGAGTCTGTTTGTTTACATCAGTGAAATTCGTTCCCCAAGTAACGATTTCCACTCACTGAACTTGAAATCACACTTTGTTAAAGTGCTGTCGGTAATGCTTGTATCCCTAAACCAAATTAGGTAATTGACACATCAGTTTCCCACGATCTCCAATCAACCTGAATTGCAAGTTAATATAGGTCCTCCGACTCTTTACGAAGTTGTAAAGCTATCACAACTCTGAAGCAAGGGAGAGCAGCAGGCCCTGACGGGTTTACTTCTGAGATTTTTAAAGATGGTCGTTCAGTATTAGCAGTGAGATTAACTGAGGTCTTCGGTAGAATGTGAGAACTAGACGTAATCCCATCTGACTGGTCTCAATCACTGATTGTGCCAGTCTATAAGAAAGGACAAAAGTCCTCTTGTGACAACCACAGAGGGATCAGTTTGACTAATATAGTGTCTAAAATATTAGCTTTAATAATACATCGACGCCCAACTAAAGCTCGTGAAGAGCAGACTAGAAAAAACCAGGTCGGTTTTCGACATGGACGTGGTTGTACAGACCAGATATTCACACTACTTCAAGTCCTAGAACACAGACACACGTTCAGCCACCCCACAATCGTAGTATTTTTCGACCTTAAGGCAGCATTCGACTCTGTTGATCGTAAGGTTCTATGGCAGTGTTTTTCACTGAAAGGAGTACCAAAGAAGTACATTAACCTATGAAGGCTCTCTACTCGAACACAACTGGTAGAGTGAGAGATTATGACGAATTGTCATCTGAATTGATTACCTCAAGTGGTGTTCATCAGGGATGTCCACTCTCTACATTCTTGTTCAACATTGTCGTCGACGTACTTTTAGAGATAACACTTTCCTCATCTAAATTTCCAAGGGTCGAACTTCTACCAGGAGATTCACTTGTTGACTTGAAATATGCCGATGACATAGTTCTATTCGGTGAAGATGCTGAGTCTTCTGACCACTCTAAGCAACAATGCAAGCATGTTCGGGATGCGATTTCCCCCCTCGAAATGCAAAATGTTGCTTCAGGATTGGGTTGCATCGACACCCGAACTAATGATAGGGAGTGAAGTAGTTGACCGTGTCGACCGCTTCACTTATCTTGGAAGTCTCATCAACCCTTGTGGTCTGGTCTGTGAGGAAATCTCAGCACGGATACAGAAGGCTCGACTAGCTTTTGCCAACTTGCGTCATTTATGGCGTGGGCGAGATATCCGTCTATTAACCAAAGGACATGTTTACTGCACAGCAGTTCGTCCCGTCCTACTTTATGGCAGTGATACATGGCTGGTAAGAGTAGAGGATATTCGTAGGTTATTAGTATTCGATCATAGGTGTCTTCGAAATATTGCTCGTATATCCTGGGACCATCGAGTAAGTAATGCAGTTGTTAGGAAACGGGTACTAGGTAAGGATGGCAAATCGATTGATGAAGTGGTGAAACTTCATCAGTTGAGATGGCCGGGACACGTGTTACGTATGCCCAACGACCGACTGCTTCGACGTGCGATGTTCAGTGGTATAGGAGTAGGTTGGAAGAAAGGTGAGGGTGGCCAGACCAAAACATGGCACAAATTCATGAGGTCACTAACAAGTGGACTGAGTCATGTTGGTAGGTGTAAACTACTTGGTTGGGGACCGCGAGATGATAGCAACCGATGGTTAGAGACCCCGAATGACATGGCTCAAAATCGTTTGCCATGGCGCAGGTGTATCCACTCTTTGTGTTCTCCCAAATGTTCATCTCCTTATTCCTCCTTGTCTCTTTTTTTCTTTTCCCAAATCTATCTCACTGGATTATACTCCTTAAATAACATCTTCAAACCCTAATCTTCCCAATTACTGCTTATACTCTTTCTACCTCTACCACTACGGGATTTGAATCGACCACTGCATCTCTGTGCTAATGTGGTATGGCAACTCGAACTGATGTCTGAAGTTCTACGTTGTTACTGACTGACTGAAATTGAGAGGACGAAAAGACAATGTTCGACGCTTTAATCGGGTTGGTGGATATGGATTCACCTAGGGGAGTTGGGAAACCCTGATTTCAAATAAATGGTGAATATGGACTGGCTCCAGGATTATGAGTGAAAAAATGGCGTATAAACTTATTGTTGGTCACCGGCTACCATGGGACTGCATCTACTGACGTTGCTCCACTGCCTTGAGGATTAGACCAGTAGTTTAAAGTGTCGAGGTGTGGCCTTCTAAGGAAACCACCTGCTTCTGTTTTGGTATCCGGGCAGTATCCCATCCGTCACACAAATCGAATGATTTATGTGGCAAATAACTATTTGGTGCTTCCTTGTACCTATGTTTATGTGTTTAAATATATAGTTATATATATAGTAAAATGTCCAGTTATTGTGTAAAAGCTTTGTTGATCGACACCCTAAAAGAAGTTAATTCACCTTCAATTTTATTCAATTATATGTTAATTATTTAATTATTGTATTGTATCGAACTAAGTAATTATCACAGAGTTTATAATCACTATGAATAAATCAATGAAAAAATAGGGGGAAAAACATATTGAAAATCAATAAACAAAGTTCACCTTGAATAAATTTATTCAATAAAGGTTAAAATGTCACTTAACAACAATCACCTTAAATCAATATATGAATCTTAAAGTTGATTTTCATTTTCATACATTGTATTTAAAAGATTCTCCATCTTTGGTTTCCCCACCCCGTCTCCCACCAATAATCAATTACATTGTTTATTTCTTTTTATTATATCATGATTAGTTCAAAAGTTATAAAGTGATAATGTTTAATGCGATTGTAACTATTGAGTTAGTGATTTGAACTGTAGTTGTATGATTTACATGAATAGACTATGTTACAATAATATGTAAAGATTTTCTCGATTATTGATTTGCATTAAGATCCGGTTACATACAAAAATTGGTGTTGACTTTGGTCGTCATCGTGATAATTTGGGTAGATTTTAGGATTTATTGTTTAGAGTGTGTATTCTGTTTGTATATTGTTTTCGTTTTCATCTGGAGTTTACAATGAACATCTGCATTTTAAACAGTTTCTATAAATGATTAGTAAGATTTTCTATTTTCCTACTGTTGATATTCAGGGTTCTAGTTGATTAGCCTCCGTTGATATATGTGTATCGTAAGAGAATGCCTTGGTATTGCTTTTTATTTAGTTACACGTTTTTAGTAGTGTCTGGTGGTTGGGGCTATTTAACAGAAACCCTAAATGTAATAGAAGTTTAGGGTTATCTATTGAGTAACTTCAATCATACCTAACATCTCAACATGTTTTACAGGAATGATGGTAAATCAGTTGATGAGGCTGTGAATCTACATCGACTGAGATGGTTGGGCCACGTATTACGCATACTCAACCACCGATTATCATAACATGCAATGCTGACTAGTGTTGGAGACGGTTGTAAGAAAGTTGGGGGAGGTCAAACCAAAACGTGGCATCAGTGCTTGAAGTTACTAACTTCTGGTCTGAGCTATATTAGTAGATGCAGACTACTTGGTTAGGGTTCGCGCAATTATTGTAACCAGTGGTTGGAGACTCTGGGTGACATAGCTCAGAATCGATGACAATGGTGTTTTGTTTTCCTTTAAACCATGAGATTAAAATAACGTTTTACTTCTCTTTCTACGAACTAATTCTTTCTCTCTGTATCATATTTGCAATCTTTTTCTATATATTACTACCGTTGAAGTAATAGCTTCTGTGAATTTAGTGTTTATCTTGTTGTGTTAATGATGTGTTCCAACTTGGACCGATGCATATATGTGCCTGGTCTTACGTTGTAGATGACTGACCGACTTTTTTATTTCACTTTTTGATTATATGCAACATATTTGTACCACATGCTAAAAAGTTTGATTAAGGACAAATTCATAAGGTCATTAGCTATATATGTGTAATGCACGTTGGTGTGTAATGTGTGATACCACAGATTTAAAAGTTAGCTATTTATGAACTCATTTTATTCGTTTCATAAATAATCCCATGGTGCATTTAAAACAGGTAGAAGTATGATTTCTCGTTGACTAAAATAGTATTTATTTTTGCCATTTCGATTTCCTCTGTGATTGTACTTACAGAAAAATAAGTTTGCCCATGGTTTCGTAACCTGTCTTTTACCAAAAGTTGGAATATATGATAAATTTGATTGAATAATTCATGATATGTAGGTTTGTGTGCCCTTCTTGAACCATATTTTATTCGTATTGAGGATAATAAGACTAACTGGTTTCCAAAGTCTTATTAAGTGATGTAAGGTTTGGAATTTCAACCCATTTTACAACGGCGGCACAGTAGTTAAAGCGCTCCTTTCTATGTACTTGAATTTGGTGGCTACCTAGTGTTTCTAACCCTTCATATAAGTATGGTTTAAAACCGAATACGTAAATATGTTTCTGGAAATTGAGTCAATATTATAACCTCCAACCTAGTAATCAAGACTTTGTGCAATTCTTTATCACTCTAGACTGCCATCGCTCACTGACGATAAAAAAACTAACATCTAAACCAAGTGAATAAACATAATACTGCGAAAGTAAATACATAAAATTATAGCCCAGTAGGAACAAATGAAATAAAATGTGAAAAATATATAATAATTGTAAGATGTTTTTAGATCTGAAAGAGGATAAGAACTGAGTGCATCTGCTTCACTCTGAGTGGTAATGTAGATGTAAATGCTATTTACACTTGATGCATCTGAATGTTCGAATTCAAATTGTGTGTTCCATTCGGTGTGTTTAGTCCATTATCGATATCTTCTCAAACTCTTCTACAGTTCACACCTACTTGCGCTTCTTTTTTTACCTGCTGTTCCTGGGTTCCTAGAATGGACTGTTCATTATTCAGTTCATTTAAACTTTGTTCCTTTTTCAAAATAACACTTATTTACCAAATGCTTGAGTAAACAGCACAAATGAATGGGCTGAAGCTTACATGCTCTTATCCACCTCATTGCTTTTAGGAAGATTTTCCACAATGGACCTGTGGGCGTTCCACCGTATAATTTTTAAAGTTTCGCCCTTTGTTTCTTGTAGGTTTCTTGACCCATCTCTCTTCAAAATGATTGAGTAATGCTGTTTTGGAGTTTTGATTCTCTATGACTCCATCGTCATATTAATGAGGACACTGCTTCAACAACTCCAGACTATAACTTGTGGAAAATATCAATGTCCTCTTTCCACCCAGTTTACAATCATGTTGAAAGGAACTCTCTCTGACAACAGTTGTATTTTTTTAAGCGGTAGGGTTAGTTCATCCAATGAGCTTAGATTTTGTAAGGAGGCCCAATGGTCATTTTGTAGCTTTTCAATTATCTGCTTCATCCGGATCACAGTCAAAAACTGAACTGAAACTTCATCCTCTAAACGTCTAGATACCGTAGCTACAACTTATGTTGTTTCTATTGCTCGGTATTTTATTATACTGATTACTTTTTTAGCACCGACACTAGCTTTATCTGATACTTAATTATGTTTCATCTGTTCTTTTGTAATTTCGTATGAGAACGTAATCTACACTTTGTGATGCGATATTTTGTACATTTTAATATCTTTTTTAATCACTTTCACTTTTCGGAAGGTGTAGCTATTCTCTACCAAAAAATCCTCCTTCTCATTACTTTTTATGTACTTTAATTCCGTTCTAAAACCCTACTCAAATAAATAGTTAAAAACAGATAAAGAGAATCCAACGAAGAAAATTTTATTTTTGAAGAAATCATTTACTTAAGCTGCAATTTCGTATTTATAGTTGTTTGACAAAGGAACAGTAAAGGAACTCTGGGTTCCTTCATTTTTTTTGTCGAGCTTGGTATAGTGAATGCCAGATTAAAAACATATAATTATTCCCATTGAAATCACAAACCGGTCAATGTTAGACCCATCATTGAAGACTTGAAAGTACTGGACGGTCGTTTCACCCTAGTATGGGACGTGTTTGTCTTATATACAATCATACTTTCATTACAATCACCATTTTGGGTTCACTCTTATTGGGATACACCGACGCAAACCACTCTTTGTTTCTTGATATTTCACCTGGCTAAATTTAGCGGAATTAGTCTCTAAAAGTACTGATAGCGAATACACCAATGTAATCTGTCATTGTGGACTGCAAATAATGTTTAGAGTAATACCTAAGCACATGGATTTAAAAATAGTGTTTAGCACATGCTGAAATTACTAGCTCTGTGTTTATAATAACTAGTTTTGCGCTCTTTTAAAAATGAAACAGCCGGACCAAATACTTGGAAAAGCCTACTTATAATCCACTTCAAGTATTCATTCCATTCTTTATTATTTACATACATTTTTCAATCCGAAAAATCAATGATTGCAAATGTGCTTTTTGAATAAATGAACACATTTTCGTGAATGAGTATTAAAGAGCTTCTCTATTATTGTCTACAGTTGCCATACAATTCTACAGTAAAACTCATGGCAATTCGTCCGTAAGGCAACTGTCATTTGGGGTTGACATCATCCATGGAACTAATGAGAATGAAGGACAACTGTTTCGTTCTAGTGTGTGACTTCATTTTAAACTAATCCCTACAAAGCTTTCAATCGAACAGTCTTCTGTTCACTAGTAACTAATTTTGAGATGAATTCCTGAACTTCCAATGTGAAGTCTTGATTAGTTAAATTTTCTCATATTAAAAAGCAGCTACCATACCAAAGGCATTGAATGATTGTGTAGTGCATTGTTAATTGAGTGAAGTTAGACATATGATTCGTTGAATTCGTACTCGAGAGTCCTAAAGTTCATTGGTTGAATCCTTTCCGTATTTTCGCAGGTACTCATTACTAATGAACTATACAGGGGGATGTCCATCGCTCCTTGATTTTTAATAGGCAGTTATCCGATGTTGATCTATTATACAAACCGACCTAACCATATATATATCTTTATTATATCGGGTCGTCGCTAATTGCTGTGCTAGAATCGCTTAGTAATTTACTTGTAAAACGAGAAACCACTAAAATGTCCACAATGCGGAAGTAAGAACACAAAGAATAGTACAAGTGAAGATTTATTAACCCAAAAATACGACGATGACCCTAGTCGAGAATACACTCATTTATATATTTATTGTACACTCATTATGATTAATAATTAGGGTTATAACAGATCACATGTTACATGTCATGCTGAGCATAGTTCAGGTCAATTTTTAATACAAGATTATCGTATATTATACAGAATAAAATGTCATAAAGGAAAACGGAAACAAATCCTACAATGAGTAATCATCACATTGAATTAAAACGGAATTAATGTTGAATAAAAATCATAGTGATTAAATCAAAATAACTTTGACTTTTCTTCCCATCATATCAGTTAGATACCAACTTAGTGGTGTAAAGGTTAAGGATTTGTATTCGGTATCGGGAATGCGCACTGTTAAGGTGTCTCACATTAAAACGAAACAATTATCCAGTTCTTTGAGGTTTTCAATGGTGGTCTAACTAAAATCAGTTCATGATTTAAAATTGTCAATATTTCTTTTCACAAACCTCTAAATGAATATCACGGGATTTACCCAGTTTTCTGTTCGTTTTGTAGACTAGCTACTTCCTTATATTTAGGCAGTTTTTTTTTGTGGATCGAAAAATTGTTAAACTTTCTTTTTACAATTCTCTTATTTTAATTATTCACTTAGCTGGTGATACAGTATTCGAATGCAGTGAATGTGAATCAAATGAAAAAATACATTTGAATCGTGATAACAGTGATTCTGATGCAAATCTAATTCCATATTGTTCATATGAACAATCTAATTTTCAATTGTATAAAATATTAGGTGGGATTATTGGAGCAATAGGAATTATATGTTTACTAGTATGTTTCATACGTTTCTTAGTTAAACAAATCTGTGGCACTCAACGGATAAATAATCGAACTTCTTGTGGTGGTGGTGGTGGTTCTGGCGCTAATACAAATACTAATGGTAATACTGCATCAAATCGAACTGGTCGAAGAAGAAATCGTTCACCTCAGTTACAAAATAATCATAGAGATGATGCTACAGAATATTTGCATAATGATTATAGCACAAGTGTATATCCTGTTGGTTTTGGGTAATTTATTTTGTTGTTGTTGCTTTTAAATGAAAATTCATATTAAAGTTATATTCGTTTGAATTATATTGTAGTTGAATAGTTTAGTGTTGTACAAATCCCCTGGTACGGCCGAGAGTGAGGAGTCCGCTCTCCCTCTCGAAACGCTCTCACATGGCCACGTGTATATAACCTCTGCCAGGGAAGTCCTACTCACTGCCTTCTCGTGACGGGGGTGTTGTTTACGAAAACGGGAGGACGAAAAGCGAATATCCGGCGCTTTAGCCGGATCCCAAACCAAATCAATGGTGCACATGGGCTCCAGTATCCTGCGGGAACAAATGGCGTATGAACCAATTGTTAACCACCGGCTTCCATGGGACTGCATTTCCATAGAATGCTCCACTGCCTTGTGGATCAGACCTTCAGGTCGAAGGCTCGGGGAGTGGCCCCCTAAGAAAACAACCTGCTTCGGTTTGGGCACCCGGGTAGTATCGCAGCCCTCACAAAAATCAAATGATTTGTGGTGCATATGTACTTGGTGCCTCCTTGTACCAATATCTGTGTTAAAATAAATAATAAATAAAGTTTTGTTCGAAATTGATCTTTAATATCAAGTAAATACTACCGATCAAACATTACAGTTGTTTAGTTAGTATGGTGATTTATACAATAGTCTGGTATTAAAACATCAAGAATTAGACTGACTAGAATCTTTGATTTGGATTATCTTGATTATATTTATTAGTACTGAACTAAAGAAACTTGTACATTTTTCAGTTTTGTTCCCCATTGATTTATTATATTGTACATAAAACTGTAAATTTTCTGTACATTTATACCAGAACTTTTCAGGTGATCGATAAAAAGTTATTCATTTAATCTTTACTATCAGTCAGTTAAACGCTACATACGTGCATCATTTCAAGTTGACATATCATATAAGCACATCGATATGAAATTGTTAAAGCAGATTTCAGAGTCATCTAAAATTATGATTAAGTGACTTCGTAGTCATTTGTATGCTTAAGTTTGGATTATAATTTACCGTCTCTATGTGGGTTATTAAGTAAAGACGGCGATGAAAATGTGAATCTTCATCAAATGAGGTGTCTAGGACACATGCTACTTATTTTCTACCTACCGCTTACCTCGAAGCTTAATGTTGACTAGTGTAGAAATAGATTAAAAGCAAGCTAGATATGGTATCAATCCATGAGGTATCTCATTGTTGATCTTAGTGGTGCTTCTGGTTGTTGACTACCACCTGGTTTGTGTTCGCGAGATAACAGTGATTAGTCGTTAGGTAATTCGAATTTGATTCAAATGACCTAGATACACTGACTCTGTTTTCTTTCAGACCCTAATTACCAGTATTGTTAATTACATTTTGAATCCGTATCTTATTCCTTCTTTTCGAAGCATATTCTTTATGTTTAAGATTACTATCCTTGATATTACTATTGTTATTCACCTTTTTGATTCCATCTCTTTGTGCTTATATGAGGTGTAGAAACCGACTTGACAAAAAAAACTATAAACAATTATTTGGATATTGATTTACTAGTTTTAAATACCAATTTGATCATATTTGATTAGTTCACAATTTAAGGCTAATTGGTTTTTTTATGTGATGTATGTTTGTTAGTGGTTAAGACATCCAACTTTCAACCACTAGGTCCAAAGTTCAAGTTTTTTTTTATCAACTTCGGTTTAAACAGCTGAGCAGTACCCTGACACACAAACTATAACTTCAAGTTGAGTACATTAACTCGATTTTAACTTTTGTGCATAGAACAGTTGGATCATATTGTTTGCTGCACGTCATTGACAATAAGACTAGCTGTCTTTCATTCAAACTAACTTATTTTATTTTATTTTAACACAGATATTAGTACAAGGAGGCACCAAATACATATGCACCACAAACCATTTGATTTGTGTGAGGGCTGTGATACTGCCCGGGTGGCCAAACCGAAGCAGGTGGTTTTCTTAAGGGGCCACTCCCCGAGCCCTCGACCTGAATTTCTGATCCACAAGGCAGTGGAGCATCGTAAGGAGATGCAGTCCCATGGAAGCCAGTGGCTAACAATTGGTTCATACGCCATTTGTTCCATTAGGATACTGGAGCCCATGTGCACCATTGATTTGGTTTGAGATCCGGTTAAAGCGCCGGATATTCGCTTTTCGTCCTCCCGTTTTCGTAAACAACACCCCCGTCACGAGAAGGCAGTGAGTAGGACTTCCCTGGCAGAGGTTATATACGCTTGGCCATGTGAGAGCATTTCGAGAGGGAGAGCGGACTCTCCCCACTCTCGACCGTACCAGGGGATTTGGGGGAATTCAAACTAACTAATTGAATCTGTTTTTTAAAAGAACAATTTGTTTTATTATTATTCATTTCTATCATAGATCATACCTATTCATGTATCTATCAAGTTCTTTTGTCAATGAATTCAATTAAATTTGACAAACTGAGTATACAGTACATTAATTTCAGGACATAAGTAGTACATATTTAATTCAGTAAGAAGAATCTTTATAGGTGAATATTAGAAATTTAATATAATAAATGGTGTTGTTTTGGCTTAATTATTTATACTATGTTACTAGAAAGTACTATTTACAAGTGAACATCAGTATGAAATTGAATTGATGAATTATTTTACCAAATAAATACTATTATTATCAGTCTGGTTTGGAGATTTATGTGGTAAGCCTCCAAATGCCATGGTATGGCTGAGGATGGGAAGTTTCCGCTCTCCTCAAAATGCCATCATATAACCACGCGTATACAGCCACTGCCAAGGATATCCTACCCACTACCTTTACGCGGCTGGGATTTTAACGAAATTGAGAGGATGGAAAGCGAATGTCTGGCTCTTTAACCGGGTTGGTGGATATGGAGGATTCACTTAGGGGAGTTGAAAACTTGTGCACATGGTCTCCAATTTTCTGAGGGAATAAATGGCGTATGAACCCATTGTTGGTCACCGGCTACCATAGGACTGCATCTCCTAATGTTGCCTCACCAACTTGTGGATTAGACCTTTAGGTCAAACAGTCAAGGAGTGTCTCCCTAAGAAAACCACCTGATTAGGTTTGAGCTCCTGGGCAGTATTCCAGCCTTCACATAAATTGAATGGTTTATATGTTGTTATCCAGCTATTCAAGCTAAACTAAGCTCGGATTAGAATTTGAAATTTCTATACGTTAACTGCTAATCCATAAAGGAACACAATATCATTTAGTCATTTATTCATAAATTAATTATTAGGTTTTTTGTAAACTTCAGTCATATCAAGCAACATATAGCCCCATCGAATTATAGTTTCTTATTAAGACTGCGATGTTTTATGGTGTAGGAGTAGGTTGGAAGAAAACCAGGGGCAGCCAGACCAAAACATGACACAAATTCATGAAGTCACTGACAAGTGGACTGAGTCATGTTGGTAGGTGTAGACCACCTGGTTGGGATCCGCGAGATGATAGCAACCGATGGTTAGAAACCCCGAATGACATGGCTCAAAATCGTTTGCAATGGCGCAGGTGCATCCACTCTTTGTGTTCTCCCAAATGTTCATCTCCTTATTCCTCCTTGTCTCTTTTTTTATTTTCCCAAATCTATCTCACTGGATTATACTCCTTGAATAACAAATTCAAACCTTAATGTTTCCGATTACTGCTTATACTTTTACTACCCCTACCACTAAGATTTGAATCGACAACTGCATCTCTCTGCTAATGTGGTATGACAACTCGAACTGTTGTATGTACCTACGAAGTTCTACGTTGTTACTGACTGACTGACTGATTAAGATTATGTAATATGAATCATAGTTATTAAAAGTTTGAAAATGATGAAATTCTAATTTTTCAGTTCGATCCCTCATATACCATTAAATATAACAAAGATATAATGTCGTGTTTGATCTAAGCGAATTGATGTCAGTTTTCTTTCTCTTTTCAGTTGTAGTAATAGTTATTATTGTCGTCTCTCTTTAATGTAACATTTAGAAAGGGACTTTTGTTATTCATTCACAATAAAGTCGTTGTTAAATTTTACTTCCCTTCCATAATTTTCAGGTTAAAAATTATTGTTATTAAATTATATTTAATGTAATTATATAAGTTGTCAATCATAAAATTAAAGTTGTATTAAAAATATTATAGACATAGTGAAAGCGAATTCTGTTAAGCAGTGAACTGTTCATTTGTATTCAGTTATTTCTTTAAATATCAGAACAAACACAATATTATCATTATATCTTTCACTCATCTCTCTCTCTCCTGATGATCTTTTTGAAGTACATTATTGTTATAACTTGTCAGTTGAATGCTGATTGTCTTGGCTGTTTTAATCCTACTTCTTATATCTGGTCGTCGCTGATTGTTATATCGGAATCGTTTATCACTTATACTCAAAACAAAAGACCCTTGCAGTGCTCACGACGCAAAAGTAGGAATACAAAGACTGATATAAGTGAAGATTTATTAACCCCCAAAACACGACAACAACGGCGACGACCCTAGTCGAGCGTACACTCATTTATATATTGATTCATACACCCACTTTGAATAAGAATTAGGATGAAATCACATATATATGAAAAAAAATACTTAGAGTTATAACAAATCACATGCTGAGTATAGTTCATATCCATTGAATACAAGAATATCGTGTTATACAGAATAGTGTCATATGAGAATACAAAACAAAATACTACACTCAATAATCATCAAATTGAATCAAAATAGATGTAATGTTGAACCAGAAATCATAATGAGTAAATCAACCGAATTTTAACTTTTCTTTTCATCATATCAATTATTGAAATACTATAAAATAGCTGCTCACTAGTTTTCAATCGTTTGTCTTTTTAGTAGACTTCAGTTAAAATTAATATGTATAATCTTTTATTCAGTAACATATAACAGGTTTTTATCACTTCAGTTAATGAGATTTACTCTATTGATCTAGTGTTTAATGCAGAAATACATATAGTTTTCATGACATTTGT